AGTATATATTGTATATATTATATATATTATGTATATATGGTGTATGTATACATGTGTGTGTATATACACACACACATATATATATATATACCACTTCTTCTTTACACATTAATTGATTAATGGACATTTGGGTTGCTTCCATATCTTGGCTATTGTAAATAATGCTGCAGTGATTGTATATATCTTTCCTAATTATTAATTATATATTTTTTTCTTCAGATAAAAACCCCAAAGTGAAATTGCTGGAACATAGGGTAGAGCTACTTTTAATTGTTTTGACAAATCCCCATACTTTTTCCATAGTGGCTGAACCAATTTACTTCCCTCCAAAGTGCACAGTGGTTACCTTTTTCCCACATCATTGTCAACATATGGATTTCTTTTAGTTTTATTTCTTGTCTAATTGCTATGACTAGGACTTCCAATACTTGTTGATAAAAGTGGCAAGCATAGGTATCCTTCTCTTGTTCCTGATTTGAGAGAAAATGCTTTCAGCTTTTCACTGTTGAGTATAATATTAGTTGTGAATTTATCATATGTGGCCTTTATTAAGTTAATTTATGTTGCCTCTTACCCATACTGTTGACAATTTTTATCATAAATCAGTGTTGAATTCTTTCAAAAGCTTTTTCTGCATTTATTGATTTGATCATATGATTTTTATTTTTCAGTTCATTAATAGGGTAGATCATATAAGTTTGAACATATTTGCATCTATGTTCATCAGCGATATTGGCCTGTAGTTTACTTTTATGTGATATCTTTGTCGTTTTGGTATCAAGGTGATGGTGGCCTTGAGGAATGATTTCAGGAGCATTCCTTCCTGTCCAATATTTTGAAATAGCTTGAGAAGTATAGGTTTAAAATGCTCTGTTTGGTAGAATTTACCTACAAAGTTGTTTGGACCTGAACTTTTGTTAGCTGGGCTTATTTAAATTATTATTACTTATTTAATTACATTACTGGTAATTGGTCTGTTCATATTTTCTACTCTTTCCTGATTCAGTCTTGGGAGATTTTATATTTATAGGAATTTGCCCATTTTTCCTAAGTTGTCCATTTTATTGGAGTATAAAATGTTCATGATAATCTCATAATCCTTCCTATTTCAATGGTATTATTTGAGACCTTTTCTTTTCCAATTTTTTGGAATTGATTCATCTCTCTTTTTTTCTTGATGATTCTAGTTAAAGTTTATCAATTTTATCTTTTAAAAGAACCAGGTCTTTGTTCATTGATCTTTTCTATTTTTCTCTTACTCCTTCTTTCCGATCTGATCTTTATGATTTCTTTTCTTCTACTAACGTTAGGTTTTGTTTGTTATTGTTTTCCTAGTAACTTAAGGTATAAGGTTAGGTATCATACCTCCTGACTTCAGATTATACACAATGCTACAGTAATCAAAAGAGAATTGTATTGCCACAAAAACAGAAACATAGATGAATGGAAGAGAATGGATAGTCCAGAAGGAACCCACACAATTATGGTCAATAAATCTACTACAAATGAGGTACAAATATACAATGGAGAAAAGACATTCTCTTCAATAAGTGGTGCTGGGAAACTGGAGACCTACAGGTAAAATAATGAAATTAGAACATTTCCTCATGCTGTACACAAAGACAAACTCAAAATGGATTAAGGACCTAAATGAAATACCCCAAAATCCAAAACTCATATAATATACTCTAGGTCCATCCATGTTGTTGCACATGGCTGAGTAATTTTTATATTTTATGGCTGAGTAATATCCCATTATATATATATATATGTGTGTATGATATATATATATATACACATATATATGTGTGTGTGATATATATATGTGTGTGTGATATATCACATCTTTTTTATCCATTCATCTGTTGATGGACATCTAGGTCTCTTCCATATCTTGGCAATTGTAAATAATGCTGCTATAAATATTGGGGTGCATGTATCTTTTCAAATTGGTGTTTTCACTTTCTCTGAGTATATACCCAGCAGTGCAATTGTTTAATACAGTAGTTCTCCTTTTAGTTTTCTGACGACCTCCATAATATTTTCATAGTGGTTGTACCAATTTACAATCCCACTAACAATGCACTAGGGTTCCTAACATTTGCTGTCTGTAGACTTTTTTTAAATTAATTAATTAATTAATTTTTTGGCTGCTTTGGGTCTGTACTGTGTGCAGGCTTTCTCTAGTTGCGGCGAGTGAGGGCTACTCTTCATTGCAGTTCATGGGCTTCTTATTGCAGTGGCTTCTCTTGTTGCAGAGCACGGGCTGTAGGTGCATGGGCTTCAGTAGTTGTGGCATGCAGGCTCAGTAGTTGTGGCTCATGAGCTCTAGAGAGCAGGCTCAGTAGTTTGGCACACGAGCTTAGTTGCTCCATGGCATGTGGGATCTCCCTGGACCAGAGCTCGAACCCATGTCCCCTGCATTGGCAGACACATTCTTAACCACTGCTCTATCAGGGAAGCCCTAGACTTTTTGATGAGAGCCATCTTGACAGATGTGAGGTGATTTCTCATTCTGGTTTTGATTTGCATTTATCCAATGATTAGTGATGTTTAGCATTTTTTCATGTGCCTGATGGCTATCTGCATATCTTCTGTGGAAAAATGTCTATTAAGTGTTTCTCTCCATTTTTCATCCTTTTGTGTTTGTTTTTTGATTCTGAGTGGATGAGCTCTTTATGTAATTTGGATATTAACCCCTTCTCCATCATATCCTTGGCATATATTTTTCTCCCATTCTGTAGGTTACCTTTTCATTGTGTCTAACATTTCCTTTGCTCTGCAAAAGATTTTAAAATTAATTAGGTCCCATTCGTGTATTTTTGCTTTTATGTCTTTTTTCCCTTAGGAGACAGGTCCAAAAAAGAAAGTGTTCCCATTTATGCCAAAGAATTTTCAGCCTATGTTCTCTCCTAGGAGTTTTAGGGTTTGAGGTATTCCATTTAGGTCTTTAATCCATTTTGAGTTTGTCTTTGTGTACAGTGTGAGGAAATGTTCTATTCTCATTATTTTACTGGTAACTCTCCAGTTTTCCAAACACCACTTATTGAAGAGACTGTCTTTTCTCCATTGTATATTCTTGACTCTTTTGTAGTAGATTTATTGACCATAGGTGTGCAGGTTCCTTTCTGAGCTCTTTATTCTATTCCATTGATTTCTGTGTCTGTTTTTGTGATTATTGTAGCTTCGTATTCAGGGAGTGTGGTATCTCCACCTTTGGTCGTTTTTCTCAGGATTGCTTAAGCAATGTGGGTATTTTGTGGTTCTCTATTACTTTTAGGATTATTTGTTCTGGTTCTGTGAAAAATGTCATGGGTATTTTTTAAATTTATTTTATTTATTTATTTTGGACTGCATTGGGTCTTTGTTGCTGTGTGAGGGCTTTTCTCTAGTTGCAGTGAGTGGGGGCCACTCTTCATTGTGGTGCATGGGCTTCTCATTGCAGTGCTTCTTTTGTTGCAGAACACAGGTTCTAAGCACACAGGGTTTGGTAGTTGTGGCTCGCTGGCTTAGTTGCTCCACGGCATGTGGGACCTTCCCGGAACAGGGCTCGAACCCATGTCCCCTGCATTGGCAGGCGGATTCTTAACCACTGAGCCAGAAGAGAAGTCCTAATTTTTTTTTTTTTTTGGCATGAATCATCATTCCCTTTACTAGATCTTTTTTTTTTAAACATCTTTATTGGAGTATAATTGCTTTACAATGGTATGTTAGTTTCTGCTTTATAACAAAGTGAATCAGCTATACATATACATATATCCCCATATCTCCTCCCTTTTGCGTCTCCCTCCCACCCTCCCTAGCCCACCCCTGTAGGTGGTCACAAAGCACGGAGGTGATCTCCCTGTGCTATGTGGCTGCTTCCCACTAGCTAGCTATTTTACATTTGGTAGTGCATATATGTCCATGCCACTCTCTCACTTCATCCCCGTGTCCTCAAGTCCATTCTCTACGTCTGCATCTTTATTCCTGTCCTGCCACTAGGTTCTTGAGGACCTTTTTTTTTTTTAAGATTCCATATATATGTGTTAGCATATGGTATTTGTTTTTCTCTTTCTGACTTATTCACTCTGTATGACAGACTCTAGGTCCATCCACCTCACCACAAATAACTCAATTTCATTTCTTTTTATGGCTGAGTAATATTCCATTTATATATGTGCCACATCTTCTTTATCCATTCATCTGTCAATGGACATTTAGGTTGCTTCCATGTCCTGGCTATTGTAAATAGAGCTGCAATGAACATTGTGGTACATGCCTCTTTTTGAATTATGGTTTTCTCAGGGTATATGCCCAGTAGTGGGATTGCTGGGTTGTATGGTAGTTCTATTTTTAGGTTTTTGAGGAACCTCCATACTATTCTCCATGAAGGCTGTATCAATTTACATTCCCACCAACAGTGCAAGAGGGTTCCCTTTTCTCCACACCCTCTCCAGCATTTATTGTTTGTAGATTTTTTGATGATGGCCATTCTGACTGGTGTGAGGTGACACCACATTGTAGTTTTGATTTGCATTTCTCTAATGATTAATGATGTTGAGCATCCTTTCATGTGTTTGTTGGCAATCTGTATATCTTCTTTGGAGAAATGTCTATTTAGGTCTTCTGCCCATTTCTGGATTGGGTTGTTTGGTTTTTTGACATTGAGCTGCATGAGCTGCTTGTATATTTTGGAGATTAATCCTTTGTCAGTTGTTTCATTTGCAAATATTTTCTCCCATTCTGAGGGTTGTCTTTTTGTCTTGTTTATGGTTTCCTTTGCTGTGCAAAAGCTTTTTAGTTTCATTAGGTCCCATTTGTTTATTTTTATTTCCATTTCTCTAGGAGGTGGGTCAAAAAGGATCTTGCTTTTATGTCATGGAGTGTTCTGCCTATGTTTTCCTCTAAGAGTTTTACAGTGTCTTGCCTTATATTTAGGTCATTAATCCATTTGAGTTTATTTTTGTGTATGCTGTTAAGGAGTGTTCTAATTTCATTCTTTTACATGTAGCTGTCCAAAAAATATGGAAAACTTCACAAATTTGCATGTCATCCTGTGAAGGGGCCATGCTAATCTTCTCTGTATCTTTCCAATTTTAGTATATGTGCTACCAAAGTGAGCACTCATGGGTATTTTGATAGGGAATGCTTTATATCTGTAGGTTGCTTGGCGTAGTATAGCTGTTTTAAAAATATTAATTCTTCCAATCGAAGAGCATAAGGTATCTTTTCATTTATTTGTGTCATCTTCCATTTGTTTCATCAATGTCATAATTTTCAGTGCATAAATCTTTCACATTTGTGGATAAATTTATTCTTAGGTCTTTTATCATTTTAATATAATCCTATTTTTTTCTTCATACCTTGGATAGTTTGTTATTGGTGCAGGAAAAATAACAGATTTCTGTATGTTAATTGTGTATACTTCAAATTTACTGAATTTATTCATGCTAATACTTTGTGGGTGAAATCTTTAGGGTTTTCTCTATGTGTCATGTTCAAACAGTGACAGTTTTAGTTCCTTTACAAACTAGATCCCCTTTTTTATTTTTGTCTTTTTGCTGTGGCTAGGATTATTAATACTATGTTGAATAAAAGTGGTGAGAACAGTCATCCTTGTCTTGCTCCTGTTCTTAGGGGAAATGCTTTCAACTTTCATCATTGAGTATAATGGTAGCTGTGGTTTTTGTCATATATGCCCTTTATTATATAAAGGTATGTTGCCTCTATACCAACTTTGTTCAGAGCTTTATCAGATTTTGAAGTTTGTTGAATGTTTGTCAAATGCTTTTGCTGGAGCTATGAAGATGATCATTTGATTTTATACTTTGTTATACTAATCTGGTGTGTCCCTTAATTGATTTGCATATATTGAATCATCCCTGCATTGCTGAGATAAATCCCACATGATCACGGGGTATGGATTTTTTAATGTATTGTTGAACTCAGTTTGCTAATGTTTTGCAGAGGATTTTTGCATATATGTTCATCAGGAGTAAGGCCTGTAACCTACTTTTTCTGGTAGTATCTTTATCTGGTTTTCATCTATGGCTGATTCTGATCTCAGAAAATTAGTTTGGAAACACTCTTTCTTCAATTATTTGGAATAGTTTGAGAAGGATAGATGTTAACTTTCATTTAAATATTTGGTGGAATTTATCAGTGAAGGTACCTGGGATTTTATTTATTGGGAGTTTTTTGACTACCAATTTCATTACTAGTATTTGATCTTTTAGGTTTTTTATTTATTCCTGATTCAGTCTTAGAAGATTTATAATTCTAGGAATTTATCCAATTCTTCTAGGTGTCCAACTCTTTAGTGTGTAATTGTTTGTAGAAATGTCTTATGCTACTTTGCATTTCTGTTGTGTCTCTCTTTTGTTTCTAATTTATTTGGGCCTTCTCTTTCTTCAAAAGAATACTACTTGTGTCTTTTATTCTTTACAGAAGCTTAATAAGTGTTCGATCTACTCCCCTTACAATACTCCCCTTACCAGTGAGATTTTTACTTTTGTGTGTTTTCTTGTTGCTAATTAGTGATACTTCTTTTAAGCTTAAATAAATTCCTTCAACATTTCTTATAAGGATGCTTTCTTAGTGATGAACTCATTTAGTGTTTGCTAGCCTGGAAATGCTTGATCTCTCCTTTCATTCTGCATTATAATCTTGCTGGTACAGTATTCTTGCTGTGGCCTTTTTCCTTTTAGACCATTGAATATATTTTCATTCCCTTCTGGTATGCGAAGTCTGCTGAAAAGTCAGCTGATAGTCTTATGAAAATACTTTGCACATAACCAGTTACTTTTTTTTTTTTTAACACTTTTTCGATGTGGACCATTTTTAAAGTCTTTCTTGAATTTGTTAGAATATTGCTTCTATTCTATGTTTTGGTTTTTCGCCTCAAGGCATGTGGGATCTTAGCTCTCTGACCAGGGATCGAACCTGCACCCTCTGCATTGGAAGGTGAAATCTTAACCACTGGACTGCCAGGGAAGTCCCTACCCAGTTACTTTTATTTCATTGCTTCTATGATCCCTCTTTGTCTTTAATTTTTGACGCTTTAATTATAATGTGTCTTGGTGTGGATCTGTTTGTCTTCATCTTCTTTGGGACTCTGTGCTTCCTGGGACTTGATGTCTGTTTCCTTTCCCAGGTTAGGAAAATTGTCAGTTGTTATATCCTCTCATAAAATAAATTATCTGCCCCTTACTCTCTTTCTTCTCTTTCTGGGACCCCTATAATGCTAGGGTTAGTATTCCTGATGTTTTCCAAGAGGTCTCTTTACCTATCATCTTAATTTTTTTTCTTCTTGCTATTCAAATTTTGGTGATTTTCACTACGCTGTCCTCCAGATGACTCATCTGTTCTTCTGTATCATATAATCTAGTGTTGCTTCCCTGTAGTGTGTGTGTGTGTGTGTGTGTGTGTGTGTGTGTGTGTGTTAGTCTCAGTTATTGTATTTTTCAGTTCTTTGGTTCTTTTTTACATTTTATTGTGCTTTGTTGAAGTTCTCACTGTGTCCTGACGTGGGTGAGCATCTTGATAATCATTACCTTGAACACGTTTTTTTCAGGTAGGATGCTTATCCCTGTTTTGTCTAGTTCTTTTTCTGATACTGTGTCTAGTTACTTCATTAGTAATATATTCTTCTATTTCCTTATGTTTTCTAATTCTCTGTGCATTTGTATTTATTAGGTTTGCCTTGTGACATTTTCAGTCTTGGAGAAGTGGCCTTATACAGGAGATGGCCTATAGGTCCCAGCAGCACATTCTCCTCTGGCCAGCATGGCCAGATGCTGCAGGGATGTCCCCTATGTGGGCTGCATGTCCCTTTCTGTTGTAGAAGGGCCAACACCTGTGGACAAGCTGGTAGGCTGTATTGGACCCTGGTCTAAATGTCTGTGAGGTCCTGCATTATGTGATTGCTGTGGGTGTGCTCATAGGCAAGGCAGCCCTCCATTATGGGTCTGCTCCAGGTGCACAGGTGGGTAGGGAAGGCCCCCAGTGTGTTTGCTTGTGAGGCCTTGTGGTGCAGGAGTGCTGTAGACCCCGTGGTAGATGGGGCAGGCCCCTGATACTAATCAGTTAGAAGGAAGATTCTAAAATGTTGCCTGTGAGTGTCTCAGTCCCTAGCAGGAGTCCAAGCTGCCTCTTGCTTTCTGAGATTAGCACGTGGGTCTCACCCAGATGTCTTTCAAACTACTGGCTCTGCACAGAGATTGAGAACATGTGAGGTTTCGTATGTGCCCTTTAGGAGCAGAATCTCAGTTTCCTTTAGCCTCCAGCTCTCCTGAAAGGAAGCCCCAGGTTTTCAAAGCCAGACCTGCTGAGTTCCTTCCTTCCCAATGCAGGAACTCTGGGTTGGGCAGCCTGATGCAGGGCTCAGACCCTTCCCTCCTTGGGGAGGACCTATGCAGTTGTGGTGTCTCTAAATCGTGGGGCACAGTGCTGAAGGTGTGGGTTCTAACTAGACTGTGTTTCTAAGCCTCTTACGTGCCTTGTGGTTTCTCCTTCTTTATAGCTTGAGTTGTGGAAAATTTTTTCTGCTAGTCTTCAGAGCATTCTCAGAGATAACTTCTCTGTAAGCAGTTGTAATTTTGGTGTGCCCATGGGAGGAGATGAGCTCAGGATCTTCCATACTCCATCCTCTGGCTCCCCTCTCCCCTTTTAAAAAATATATGCAGGGGTTCCCCGGTGGTGCAGTGGTTAAGAATCTGCTTGCCAATGCAATTTGTCCTATCTATGGCCTTAAAGTTAACACAGATCTCTTGCACACTGTATATAATTGATCTTGTTTAAAAAAAAATCCATTCAGCCACTGAAGGGATTTTTTAAATTGAAGTATAGTTGATATATAATATTATAGTATAGTTGATATATATTTGTTTCATTGGTACAACATAGTGGTTTAACATTTTTATTGATTATACTCCATTTGAAATTATTACAAAATAATGACTCTATTTCCCTATGTTGTACAATACATCCATGTTTGTTTATATATAGGCGTATTGGATTAAGACAAAGAAGCTACTATCTCTCCATTCCCCCTTCACTCTCCCCACTAGTAACCACTAATTTGTTCCCTGTGAGTCAATTTCTATTTTGTTATATACATTCCTTTAATTTTTTAGATTCCCCATGTAGTCAGAACATAGAGTATTTGTCTTTGTCTATTTCACTAATTTAATACACTCTACATCCATCCATGTTGTTACACGTGGCAGAATTTTTATTTTTTTAAGGCTGAGTAATATGTATATCTGTCTATACACACACAAACCCACACACACACACACACACACATATATATATATGTCACAGTTTCTTTATCCATTCATCTGTTGATGGACATTTATTTTGCTCCCATATCTTAACCATTGGAAATAATACTGCTATAAATATTGGGGTGCATACATATTTTCAGATTGGTATTTTCATTTTCTTTCATTTTCATTTCCACTACCCAGCAGTGGAATGTTTCTTAATACAATAGTTTTCCTTTTAGTTTTTTGACGACCTCCATAATATTTTCATTGTGGTTGTACCAGTTTACAATCCCACCAACAGTGTACTAGGGTTCCCTTTTCTCACAATCCTCATTAACATTTTTTATCTGTAGACTTTTTGATGAGAGCCATTTTGACAGATGTGAGGGGATGTCTCATTCTGGTTTTGATTTGCATTTATCTAGTGATTACTGATGTTTAGCATTTTTTTCATGTGCCTGTTGCCTGTTGCCTATCTGTATGCCTTCTGTGGAAAAATGTCTAGTAGGCGTTTCTCCCTATGTTTTCATCCTTTGTTTTTTGATAGTGAGTGGATGAGCTCTTTATGTAATTTGAATATTAACCCCTTCTCCATCATATACTTTGTGTATATTTTTCACTCTCTATTTCATTTAGTCTAATGTTTCCTTTGCTCTGCAAAAGATTTTAAATTGATTTAGGGTTATTTTTGTTTTTATGTCTTTTTTTAACATCTTTATTGGAGTATATTGCTTTACAATGGTGTGTTAGTTTCTGCGGTATCACAAAGTGAATCAGCTCTACGTATACATATATCCCCATAACCCCTCCCTCTAGGTGGTGACAAAGCACTGCACTGATCTCCCTGGGCTATGT